ACCGTAGCTGCCTCGGACTTTACTCTGTTGACGACTACTCTCTGTGTTCTGTTAGTGAGGAAATTATAGATCCATCGACCCACTTTTCCTGTTATTCCTTTAGCACGCATTTTGTGCGCTATTACGCCATGGTCACACTTGTCGAAGGCTTTTGCAAAGTCTGTATATATTACATCTGCATTCTTTTTGTCTTCTAGTGCATTTAGGACCTTGTCGTAGTGATCCAATAGTTGAGACAGACAGGAGCGACCTGTTCTAAACCCATGTTGCCCCGGGTTGTGTAACTGATGGGTTTCTAGATGGGTGGTGATCTTGCTTCTTAGGACCCTTTCAAAGATTTTTATGATATGGGATGTTAGTGCTATTGGTCTGTAGTTCTTTGCTATTGCTTTACTGCCCCCTTTGTGGAGTGGGGCTATGTCTGTTGTTTTTAGTAACTGTGGGACGACCCCGTGTCCATGCTCCCTCTCCATAGGATGGAAAAGGCTCGTGATAGGGGCTTCTTGCAGTTCTTGATGAACACAGAGTTCCATGAGTCTGGCCCTGGGGCAGAGTGCATGGGCATGTCATTTATCGCCTGTCTGAAGTCATTTGGCGTCAGGATAACATCGGATAGGCTTGTGTTAATCAAATTTTGTGGCTCTCTCATAAAAAATTCATTTTGATCTTCGACTCTCAGTCTGGTTAGCGGCTTGCTAAAAACTGAGTCATATTGGGACTTGAGTACTCACTCATTTCCTTGCTGTCATCTGTGTAGGACCCATCTTGTTTAAGTAGGGGCCAATACTGGACGTTGTTCTCGATTTTGATTTGGCTAGGAGAAGAAATACTTTGGGTTTCTTTCGATTTCATTTATGGCTTTTAGTTCTTCCCGCGATTCCTGACTCCTAAAGGATTCTTTTAGCTTAAGTTCGATGCTTGCTATTTCTCTGACCAGTGTCTCCTACGCATTTCAGATATATTGACCTCTTTTAGCCGCTCTGTTATTCTTTTCCGTCGCCTGTAAAGGGAGCGCCTGTCTCTTTCTATTTTACATCTACTCCTCCTTTTTCTTAGAGGAATAAGCCTTGTGCATACATCGAGTGCCACCGAGTTAATCTGTTCTAGGCATAAGTTGGGGTCTGTGTTGCTTAGTGTATCTTCCAGCTTATATCGGTTAGGACTTGGTTTACTTGGTCCCACTTTATGTTTTTGTTATTGAAGTTGAATTGGTGAATGCTCCCTCGTGACTAGTCTCATTTTGTCGGTCTGGGGCTCCACGCATACATGTCTGAACCTCAATTATGTTGTGATCTGAGTATATTGTTTTTGATATGGTGACATTTCTTATCAGATCATCATTGTTAGTGAAGATGAGGTCTAGTGTATTCTCCAGTCTAGTAGGCTCTATTATTTGCTGGTTTAATTGAATTTTGTGCAGAGATTTAAAAGCTCGTGTGAGTGTGAGTTTTCATCAGAGCTGCCTCCTGGTGTTATTACTGCAACAATATTATTTGCTATATTCCTCCATTTTAGGTGCCTTAAGTTGAAATACCCCAGGAGCAAGATGTTGGGTGCAGGAGCTGGAAGATTTTCCAGACAGTGGTCAATTTTTAACAGCTGTTCCTGGAATTGCTGGGATGTTGCATCCGGAGGCTTGTAGACTACCACAATGACTAGGTTTTGGTTCGCGACCTTTACTGCTAAAACTTCCACTACATCATTTGAGGCATTAAGCAGTTCTGTGCAAACAAGTGACTCTGCAATGTACAGGCCAACCCCCCCCCCCCTTTTGCCTGTTCACTCTGTCACATCTGTATAGGTTGTAACCTGGGATCCATATTTCGTTGTCCAAGTGATCCTTTATGTGGGTCTCAGTGAAAGCCGCGAACATTGCCTTTGCCTCTGCAAGCAGTCCACGGATGAAAGGTATTTTGTTGTTTGTTGCTGGCTTTAGACCCTGTATATTTGCAAAGAAGAATGTTATCGGACTGGTGGTATTGTTGGTACTGGGGGGGGATTTTTTTTCGGCATTAGTATCTGTATCTGTTGGTTTGGAGTGGAGGCCATCGACTGTGGTTCCACTCCAGGAATGACTGGATTTGGTGTACGATTTCTGCCATTTCCTGCCAGTTTTTTTTCCTTCCTGGCACTAAAAAACCTCTCCCTCTTGAGTGGCTGTGGCTACCCAGGTTTTCCCATGGCCTGGATGTTTTGTATCTTTTTGTCCCCTTTAGATGGTATGCCTGGCAATTTAAGTTATAGCACAGTCTTTCCTGTACTGAAGAGGTACACATTTCAGGGTGAAAAAGCTTACAGGAAGGGAGTTTGCATTTTCCTGTTGTCATATGGGCATGGCATTTTCTAGGGTGGTCATAGTTGCATGTCCCATCTGTTTTTCCAGATTTCCCATGCCAGCAGATACCAAGTGCATAGTATGTGCACAGGCTTGGTTTCCGCTTGCCTTGGGTTTCTGTGACTGTATTCCCTGTTGGTGCATGTTTCCCTGTCTTACTTCTATCATCCCTAGCACCAACAATGGAGCTCCCACCAGTTGTTTTTGGTAATTTATCCTCAGTATTGCTATTGGAGTCCTCTTGTTTGCTATTTCCTGCGGTATTTCTAGTTTGCAATATTGGTTTTATCTTATCTTTGACTACACTTGTTTCCCTACTATGGCTCCTGTCCCCTATGAGGTCATTTATATGTATTCCTTCCTGCGTATAATTCCCGACTACCTGGACAAAATCTCCAGCTTCACCATTACTGTCTCCCAGGACAGCACCTCCAGCTTCACCATTACTGTCTCCCAGGACAGTATCTCCAGCTTCACCATTTCTGTCTCCCAGGACAGTATCTCCAGCTTCACCATTTCTGTCTCCCAGGACAGCACCTCCAGCTTCACCATTTCTGTCTCCCAGGACAGCACCTCCCGCTTCACCATTACTGTTCTATTCTATTTTTCGTGATTTCTGTTTTGTATCCCGGTCTTTTTGAGCAACAATGTTAAAATTATTTAATATGCTAAAATCGTATTACCCATCTGTTTTTCAATCTTTTTCACTTTTATCCTTCAGATGAGGAAGAGTTCCTCAATTATGGCTTTACAGAAACAGAAGACAAAAGAAAAATGAAACCACAGTGTGTTGTCTGTTTGAAATTACTGACTACAGAGTCTTTCACAATTAGTCAGCTGAAGAAACATTTGGATAATTTGCACTCAGATCTTTTTTCCAAGCCGCCGGAATACTTTGTGATACTTTCACTAGTGGGCCACGCTCATCTGCGATGTCACCTATAGCTGCTGTGCCTCACTTTTGCTGTAGTATATAAGGTTTGGCTGCATGCACTTGATTTATGCGTGAGGGACTGACCACCTCCTACCCTGAGTGACAGACTGGTCGCTTCAAAACTGCTTCTACTGTCTCCACTGTTGTATTTGCTAGTATTTGACTGAAGAAGTCCATTGTGTAGGTGAAATGTCTTCACAACAAAGATACACAAATGTATTTTAGTTATCAACATTTCTGTATTGTATTGTATACCAGGAAGGTGAAATATGAGAGAGCGTAGTGAGCACTCCTGAGGAACTTGTGAGAGTTAGACTGACATTAATGAAGACAAGTGATTCTTATGATATATCGTACTGGGGGAGTCTGAACAAAGGTAATATCTATGAAGGAAGTCAGGGACATCATTTTATGAGATATTGATTTTGAAGTTTGGAAATACAGTGACTTCACCCTTAAAGACGGATCCCGGAATGTTACTGACTGGTGGACCATTGGTTTGTGGTGTTTATGCTCTTTTCTAAATATAGCTGTGGAGCAAATAATGGCAAAAGCGTTTTTTTTTTATTCGATCACTCTGCCTTCATGGGAAATGTGAAGTGTTTTTAAATTAAAATGAATTTATATATATATATATATGCAGTAAGATCAAAGTAAACAGGTGATTTCAGAATATGCAAAACAACCACTGTGAAAGAACAGAGAAGTTCCAAGCGCATTAGTGACTACTCACATTATCAAGGAACAATGAAAGTAAAGCATCAAAAGAAGGTATATAAAGGGGTAGCCCACACCTCACTATCAGATCCCACAACAACGAAACACCTGACGCGAGACAGCAGGCCCGCCGGCCAAACTAGACAGGTCCTTCATACAACCCGCCAACAAACTATTCTACCCAAGAAATAAGAAATTTACAAAATAACTATTTGTCCAGTGTATTATTAAATTCTTCCCGAATTCTATTAATTATAAATGGATCTAATTTATATAAACCAAAGGAAATATTCATATTATTGTCAAAACTGCTTTTTATGAAACAAGATTCAATTATATTCCTGTCGACCATGGACTTGCTTGATACTACTTTCTCAACTTTTTGAAAATCAATTGGATGGTTAAAATCTCTTACATGAATAAATAGAGCATTGGAATCTTGTCCAGTTATTCATGTAAAAGATTTTAACCATCCAATTGATTTTCAAAAAGTTGAGAAAGTAGTATGAAGCAAGTCCATGGTCGACAGGAATATAATTGAATCTTGTTTCATAAAAAGCAGTTTTGACAATAATATGAAAATTTCCTTTGGTTTATATAAATTAGATCCATTTATAATTAATAGAATTCGGGAAGAATTTAATAATACACTGGACAAATAGTTATTTTGTAAATTTCTTATTTCTTGGGTAGAATAGTTTGTTGGCGGGTTGTATGAAGGACCTGTCTAGTTTGGCCGGCGGGCCTGCTGTCTCGCGTCAGGTGTTTCGTTGTTGTGGGATCTGATAGTGAGATGTGGGCTACCCCTTTATATACCTTCCTTTGATGCTTTACTTTCATTGTTCCTTGATAATGTGAGTAGTCACGAATGTGCTTGGAACTTCTCTATTCTTTCACAGTGGTTGTTTTGCATTATATATATATATATATATATATATATATATATATATATATATATATATATATATATATATATATATATATATACAAGGTGAATCAATAAACTGTGTTGACCTTGGTAAGGTTGAGTGCCCTGAGGTAGGTGAGCAAGGGGAAGCATTGCACCATAGCGTAGGTGGTCTCGTAGTGTTGTGCCTGGTAGCGCTGGTCTGGTCCTCCAGCCTCACTCAGGAAGGAGCTGCCTCTGATCACCCACAGTGCCTGAGTGGTCTCTGTGCCCTCGTGTGTGTCCAGCATCTCCAGCACCATCTCCTGCATAACACATACCACAGGCATATCAATATTTTTGTTATATTGTTACAGTTATGGCAGGAGTGTAGCTCTTGTGAGCTGTGCTGCACTAGTTGTGAATTCCTCAATCTGTTTTATTCAGCCTCATTTTTTTTTGTTTCACTGCTAAATTCTGCTTCTGTTAATATACCTACCTGGAGTATACCTAGTATACCTGGTGCAGTAAATCTATGCTTACGTGAGAGTAGATCTCTGCATATGTAAGCAGTTATTGGAGTTGAGTTATGTTAAAGCAGTAGCTTTGGTCTTATGTAAGAGTAAATCTATGATGATGATGATGATGATGATGATGATAATAATAATATCTTTATTTACTACAAGTACATGTACAAGGTATACAGTCCAGTTAACATCAGTGACATACTACTATATAGAAAGCCACTTGTTATGCAGAGCATTTCGAGCAAAATAGGTCAGTTTTGTCCTAGGATGCGACCCACACCCTCTCTCAGGACCCATGGAGAGATGTTATCTGGCCCCATTGCCTTTGAGGTATCTAGCTCACTCAGAAGTCTCTTCACTTCTTCCTCGGTTGTGTGTACTGTGTCCAGCACATGGTGGTGTGCCCCACCTCTCCGTCTTTCTGGAGCCCCTTGTGTCTCCTCTGTGAACACTTCTTTGAATCTCTTGTTGAGTTCCTCACATACTTCACTGTCATTTCTTGTTGTCTCTCCTCCTTCCTTCCTTAGCCTGATTACCTGGTCCTTGACTGTTGTTTTCCTCCTGATGTGGCTGTATAACAGCTTCGGGTCAGATTTGGATTTTGCTGCTATGTCGTTTTCATATTGACATTGGGCCTCCTTTCTTATCTGTGCTTATTCGTTTCTGGCTCTACGACTGCTCTCCTTATTCTCCTGGGTCCTTTGCCTTCTATATTTCTTCCATTCCCTAGCACACTTGGTTTTTGCCTCCTTGCATCTTTGGGTGAACCATGGGCTCATCCTGGCTTTTTCATTATTCCTGTTTCCCTTGGGTACAAACCTCTCCTCAGCTTCCTTGCATATTGTTGCTACATATTCCATCATCTCATTAACTGGCTTCCCTGCCAGTTCTCTGTCCCACTGAACCTCATTCAGGAAGTTCCTTATTCCTGTGTAGTCCCCTTTCCTGTAGTTTGGTTTAATTTGTCCTGGCCTTCCTGCTTCCCCCTCTACTTGTAGCTCTACTGTGCATTTGAAGCTCAAAACCTCATGATCGCTGGCCCCAAGGGGTCTTTCAAATGTGATGTTCTCAATATCTGCACTACTCAAGATGAATACTAAGTCCAGTCTTGCTGGTTCATCCTCTGCTCTCTCTCTTGTAGTGTCCCTTACGTGTTGGTACATGAAGTTTTCCAGTACCACCTCCATCATCTTAGCCCTCCATGTATCTTGGCCCCCATGTGGCTCCAAGTTCTCCCATTCGATCTCCTTGTGGTTAAAGTCGCCCATGATCAGCAGCTTTGCCCTGCATGCTTGAGCTCTTCTGGCCACTGAAGCCAGTGTGTCAACCATTGCTCTATTGCTCTCATCATACTCTTGCCTTGGCCTCCTGCTGTTCTGTGGTGGGTTATACATCACTGCAATTACCACCTTGGGACCTCCAGAGTGAAGCGTTCCCACTATGCAATCACTTTCTTCTCCGCTGTCTCCTCTCTCCAGCTCATCAAAATTCCATCGGTGTTTGATCAGCAATGCCACTCTCCACCCCTCCCCTGTTCCTTCTGTCTTTCCTCAGGATCTGGTATCCCGTTGGAAAGATGGCATCTGTTATCATACCTGTAAGCTTGGTTTCTGTGAGTGCTATGATGTCTGGTGATGCCTCTTTGACTCTTTCGTGCCACTCCTCCCACTTGTTTGTTATTCCATCAGCGTTTGTGTACCATACCTTCAGTTTCCTTTCCAACACTGTGGTTTGGGGGGCCTGTGGGGGTGGGAGACCTGGTAGCATACTGGGGGATTCTATGGTGGGGGGTAGGTTGTGGGGGTTCTGAGGATAGTTGTGTGTGTGCTTGCCCTTGCTGCTCTGTTCTGCTCTGACTGACGTCTGCTGGTTCCATCCTTGTCTCCTTCCCTAGCTCCTTTCGCTTTTTTGTCCTCCCTCAGCTGCTGTCGCTCTGTTTCTGTTCTGTCTCTGTCTAGGAACACCTTCTTGTACTCTTCCGAGCTTTTCGACCGTGGTTTCTCTTGGAGGATCCTGTTCTGCACTGTTTCTGTCCTGAGAATCAGCTTGATCGGTTGGTTTCTCCCCTTCAAGTATTCCCCTATTCTCTGAAAATTTACAATCTCGTCCATGTCTTCTCCCCCTATTTCCGTGATGATTTTCTCAATCTCCTTTCTTTCTTCCTGCCATCTTTCAGTGTGTGTCCTTTCCTCTCTCTCCCGAAGCCCATGGATATGTATGTGGTCATTTTCTCCATTGATTTTTCCAGTGGCTCTTGGTAGCATGGTTGTGCCTCAGCATTCGACCTATCTCCCTCTCCATCTGCACCCAGCTGCTCTTCACTTCCATTCCCTGGCCCTTCTTTGCAGGCTGATATGACCATAGCGTAATTCATATCTCCTTCCTTCCTGTTCAGCCTCTCAGCTTCGTATGGTGTGTCTTCTCTGTTCACTGCCCCTGAGACTTGCTTCAGCTTGTTTACCTCAAATTCTAGGACCCTTACCCTGGCTACTGCAGTTTCGACTTGTGCCTCCCAATTCTTCGTCTCCTTCTCCAACCTCTTTTCCCATTTCACAGAGAGCTCTTTCTCCATTTTTTCAGAAAGCTCTGCTAATTTTCTCTCCCATTCTTGCTCCATCCTTTTCCACTGCTCCTCCATCCATTCCTCCCTACCAGTATCATTGTCATCTGATCTCTGATTCCTGCAAGTCCCAACCATTTTTTTTTTCTTTCGGTAGAAGGAGAGAGGGGGAGAGAAGGGAAAAGTGACCCACTGATCTGATCAGACTGGTTCTGAACCCTTAACTGATCAAACCCTTGACTGGTCCGAACCCTCGACCGGTTTCAAACGGATTCGTTGGACAATAAAGCAGACTGTAAACAGACGGGGTTTTAGGCGCCCTTATCAAACACAAACAATAAATATAAAACAGGAACGTTCACTGGTAAGCTGTCCTAATATACAAGTACAGTTAGAAATAGAAATACAAATAGCAAGATCTTCACTTTAAGGAGGATATTAGTAGAATATTCAAGAGGTTACTAGTAGAATTACAGTAAATCAACCATTCAAATCACATTATGAAGCTCTGTGTAGTCTGTAGTCAATCAAACAAACGGGCTTCCACATGGATAAATTGCCATTTTTGTGGAAATTGGTGTCACACCCCTTGTGCAGATATCCAAGAACTATCTACAAACATTATTAAATCAGGGAAGTGTTTTTGGGTATGCCCAAATGAGAGCAATCTGTTGACTAAAATCACATTGGTATTAAAAGAGGATAACATCAAAGCAGCCTTCGTAGAAAACCTGGAAGCATTCTGTAACAGATGGGAAAATAAACAGTCTGGGCTGAATGGTATCGCCCTTGGTGCTGGCCTTGTAGTCAGAAACTGTAAGGCTGGAGGTGCTGCCCTGGTAATCAATAAATGTGCGGCTGATAGTGCTGTCCTGGTAGACAGTAATGGTGAAGCTGGAGGTGCTGTCCTGGGTGACAAATGGTGAAGCTGGAGGTGCTGTCCTGGGTGTCAGTAATGGTGAAGCTGGAGGTGCTGTCCTGGGAGACAGTAATGGTGAAGCTGGAGGTGCTGTCCTAGGAGACAGTAATGGTGAGGATGGAGGTGCTGTCCAGGTAGTAAGTAAATGTACACAGGAGGGAATGCATATAAATGACCTCGTTGGAGACAGGAGCTGTAGTGGGGAAACAAGTGTAGTCAAGGACAAGATAAAACCAATATTACAACCTAGTAATACCACAGGAGACAGCAAACAAGGGGACTCCACTAGCATTAGTTAGGATACATTAAGAAAAACAACTGGTGAGAGCCCCATTGTTAGTGCTAGTGAGGATAGGAAAGAGACAGGTAAACATGCACCAACAGGGAATACAGTCACAGAAACCCAAGGCAAGAGGAAACCAAGCCTGTGCACATACTATGCACTTGGTATCTGTAGGCATGGGAAATCTGGAAAAACAGATGGGACGTGCAACTTTGACCACCCTAGAAAATGCTGTGCCCATATGACAACAGGAAAATGCAAACTCTCTTCCTGTAAGCTTTTTCACCCTGAAATGTGTCCCTCTTCAGTACAGGAAAGACTGTGCTATAACTTAAATTGCCAGGCACACCATCTAAAGGGGACAAAAAGATACAAAACATCCAGACCATGGGAAAACCTGGGTAGTCACAGCCACTCAAGAGGGAGAGGGTTTTTTAGCGCCAGGAAGGAAAAAAAAAACTGGCAGGAAATGGCAGAAATCGTAGACCAAATCTAGTCATTTCTGGAGTGGAACCACAGTCGATGGCCTCCACTCCAAACCAACAGATACAGATACTAGTGCCGGAAAAAAAAGTCCCCTCAGTACCACCAATACCACCAGTCCGATAACATTCTTCTTTGCAAATATACAGGGTCTAAAGCCAGCAACGAACAACAAAATGCCTTTCACCCGTGGACTGCTTGCAGAAGCAAATGCAATGTTCGTGGCTTTCACAGAGACCCACATAAAGGATCACTTGGACAACGAAATATGGATCCCAGGTTACAACCTATACAGATGCGACAGAGTGAACAGGCAAAAGGGGGGTTGGGTTGGCCTGTATATCGCAGTCACTTGTTTGTACAGAACTGCTTAACGCCACAAATGATGTACTGGAAGTTTTAGCAGTAAAGATGGAAAACCAAAACCTAGTCATTGTGGTAGTCTACAAGCCTCCGGATGCAACATCCCAGCAATTCCAGGAACAGCTGTTAAAAATTGGCCACTGTCTGGAAAATCTGCCAGCTCCTGCCCCCAACATCTTGCTACTGGGGGA